TATATATATATATTAACCAAGTGTGTAACAAAACCGTGAGGTATTGAATGGAAGAAGTTTTTAGGGGTTTTAAAATTCAAAAACTAAAAAAAAATTGGCAATCAAGTTTTTATAAAGTTAATTTTTATAAAAACTATCATTTTGATGAAAAAATCAAATAAAAACTAAAAAACTTTAATTTTTTTTTGGATTTACAAAAACCACAAACTAAAAACCAAAATTCAACAACCAAAAACTAAACCCTAAAACTCAAAGTAAAAATTACTACCACTCAAAGCTTGAATTACTTAAAAAAACAAATAAATATATCAACAACAGTTTGATAAATAAATCGGCAAGCTGATTAATAGTATGTTTAGATATTCGGTTATCTATACTATACAATATAAGAGAATGTTTCTGATATATTGATACAAAAAAGAGTTATATCGATCTTTCAATAGTTTTAAAACTAAGCTAAAACCCTAAATGCATAATTTTACAATAATAGATGTATTTTGAGCCATGGTGTTGCCTTTGTATTGGGCCAAGACATGTCCCAAATAAAAAAAACTAAATCATTCAATTAATACATAATCAAAATATAGGCATATATATATATATTGTAAAATGAGGCCAAGACAAAGAGCTCACACAATGGCTTTTATGTCTCCCATTTGGGTCTCTCTTTAGGACACACCCATTGTGTCGGGGTCCCATCCCTAAAAATCATGTCCTTAGGACCACCCATCATTAGCCTCTCCACTAATCAACTTAATCATATTAATTATCTTTAATTATAATTAAATTTTGTTAATTAATGACTGAGTGTGGAATGGACGTTTGTTAAGTGTAGCTCACGCAATTACATGTAGCCTAAGAGTCAAAATTAATATACATAAGATGATTTGAAATGAAAAAGTAAGAAATCATTTGAATTGGCCTTTTAGTTGCTTCAAGTTTTCATTTGTTTAGTTATTTTTGTCGGTCTAATAATTATCGTGGCTTTATTTTTGGAATACAATAATATAAAAAGTGAATTGGACTCAAAATTTGTAAATATGTTATAAAAAAAAAGCTTATCACTCAGTGACAAAATATAGCTTTTCTTTTTGTATTAAATCAAAGTTGATAGACATAGTAAAGGATTTACACTTGAAATATTTTAGATTTTTAATTTTTCTAAGATTTGATATATAAAATAAATTCAGTTTACGTATTGTATGTCATTGAAATTAGGATTAAGCTTCTAAGCCAGTTTGATTCAGATTATTATAAAATAGCCCAATTATAATCTTTACTTAAATGACAACTCAAAACAATTAGTTTCTTGATAACTCAAAATATTACTCTTCATTCCAATGTAACATGAAAAATTAGCTCTTTTATAACCTCGCGTTATAGGATCACCGATTTAATTCGAATTTAAACCTTACTATAACATTTTTATTTTTATTTTTAAAAGAACAAAGTCAGTCCATCAAAGAGTTCGTTATTGATTTCGCTAAAGAAAAGAAGCCTCATATATTTGGGCTTTTGTTCGGCCCATATTGTAATGGCCCATAACATGATAAAAATACTTGCATTGATATTTCTTTTTCTTTGTATAGTTTTCTCAATCCTAATTTGGAGGTGAATTATTCGGTTAATAACCGAATAATATATGACTATAACTCAATCGAATTTGAATTCAAACTGAATCGAATAAAAAACCGTAGTTTTTTAGAAAATAAATATTTTTATCATAACCGAATCGAATTCAATGTAAAAACCGAATGATTATAGTTTTTCTAAAGTGAAATAATCGAATCGAATGCGAACCGAAATCCGATTAATCCGTGTCTAATCGAAATGTTAGAAATTTATTATTGTAAGTGGCTATTTCCGATTCCAGTTCGGGTGATTTAATTATATTTAAGTTCGATTTTTTGTTTTGTTTTAAAAAAACTGCAATCACGTATCGATTTTGATTCAGTTTGATTTTGTTTCGAATTTAGTTGTATTTAATCTTTATTAATAAAAATATTTGAAGTCTCTCAATTCGGTTTAGATCATTTTTTCAATTAAAAAAAATATACTTATTCGATTTTTAAATTAAATCCCGTATCGATTATGTAATATTCGATGCAGACGGATTCAATTATACACTTGTTGATCAACAATTCTATAATTTATATATACTTTTGATTATTTAACAAAAAGAATTTTCATTATTTTTATAAAAAGAAGTGAAATAGGTGGCGCGAAGGTATTGCTCAGAAAATTAGATGCAAATAAGGCGGCGATGGAAGCTGACATGCAGAACTCCGCATTCGTGTCATCCCCCAAACCTTCACACCTCTCTCTCTCTCTCTCTCTCTCTCTCTGTGGCTATCTTACACGCTTACACTACCTAAATTGACATTGGATTCTTCTTGGTGTTCTTTGTTACATATTCAATCGGCATTTCGCCTTCGATCGAGCCATGACCGGTAGAGAATTCCTCCACAAGATGAAGGAAACTGTCAAGGTACGGTGAATCTTCTCTCTTAATCTCTGTCCCGCTCAAACCGATGCTCTGTTTGGTGGGTTATTTTCGCGAATCGGTTCGTTTGGTGATTCTACGAGTTAGGTGTTCTTAGTAAATGGGTTGAATCTGGTTTTTGCTGTAGCGGGGCAGTGAAACTGTGAAATGTGTTCGTTAGACCGGCGTATACTGTTCGGATTTGAGATACGCCTTACTAATTTTGGTCATTTGTGAGTTATTTGACGTCGATTTTGGTTGTGGAGATGAGATTTTGTTGAAGAGGAGTCAAGTGATGGATAGCTGAATTGGTTGTCTCCAGTATTGCGCATCCTCTCAGTCTCGAGCACCGAGAAATTCCTGTTGTTGTTGTTGTTGTTGTCTGAATGTGTTAAGATTGATATCTCGGTATTGATCGGACACGACTTGTCAGGAGATGTTCTGAATCGTTTTGTCTGTGATCATGGTTTCGAGCAGGAGAAAGTTGGGCGTGGTTCATCTGCTTCTGCAGATTCAGGTAAAGGGAAGAGCAAGATGTCGAAGGACATAACCCATGGTTATCACTTGGTGAAGGGCAAGGCTTACCACGAGATGGAGGATTACGTCATTGCCAAATTCAAGGAAGTTGATAACAATGAGGTTGGACTGTTTGCGATATTCGACGGCCACTTGAGCCACGTAATTCCTGACTACTTGTGCGGCCATCTCTTCGACAACATCTTGAAAGAGCCCAATTTCTGGGAAGAGCCTGAGAAAGCAATCAAGAAAGCTTATCGTATAACGGATACGACGATACTGGAGAAAGCTGCTGACTTGGGAAAAGGGGGGTCTACCGCTGTGACCGCGATATTAATCAACTGCCAAAAGTTGGTAGTTGCCAATGTTGGAGACTCTCGGGCTGTTATTTGCAAGAACGGTGTTGCGAAGCAACTCTCAGTTGATCATGAACCAAACATGGAGAAGGAGGAAATTGAGAATAGAGGCGGATTTGTTTCCAACTTTCCTGGTAACCAATTTGATTGTGTTGAAACATATGCCCTTATCGTGTTCCGGTTTCTTGTGTTACAGGAGATATGCTTAATCAGTTTTGCTAGACTATTTTAGGGCCATTTTTATGCATATTTTGTTTTTGTGTTGCCTTTGCTGTGATTTTTTTTTTGGTTCTCTGAAATTGGGATTCAAGCTCAGATTGATTTTAGTTTTATCAAACCAAATCAGGGGATGTTCCTCGCGTTGATGGCCAACTGGCCGTGGCAAGGGCATTCGGTGACAAGAGTATAAAGATTCATTTGAGCTCAGAACCAGATGTTTCTGTGGAGATGATCGATGATGATGCTGACTTTCTTATCTTAGCTAGTGATGGACTTTGGAAGGTTGGTTCTATCACAATCTACTCTCTACAATTTTCTTGCATCATCGCTGTATATTGAGCACTTGTAACCTTGTAGGTCATGTCAAACCAAGAGGCTGTTGAGTCGATTAAGGACATAAAAGATGCCATGTCTGCAGCAAAGCATCTTACTGAGGAGGCTGTTGCAAGGAAAAGTGCGGACGACATCTCAGTCGTCGTCGTGAAACTTCAGTGACCTTGACTTTTGGTAAGTCTTCTGCACATTTGGCTGAGCCACACTCCTTATTTGAATATGTATTGAAAACCTTCTTTAGCATCGCACACGACAAGTATTGAGTACAAGAGTAATGTAGATCATTTTCCATTTCTTCAAACGTACAGAACCACCAGGCATATGTAGACTCAAGGTTGCACAGAAGAGTCTTTTCCATCATAGGACAACATAAACAATACTTAAAACCCTTAGTTATATCCTTGACATCATGGCTCATTGGTTTGACATAGGTTAGATTCCACCTTTGGGAAACTAAGCGATTGTAGATGAAGCTTATGGAGATGACAGAAGAGAGAGAGCAGACAGCTTCTATCCGATCTGTGATCTCTTGAATGATGGGTTTCAAATAGGAAGTGTCATCTCCAGCCTATTCCTTTCTCGAGTCTGAGTGACTTGACCACTAAACCCTCTCCAGTCTGACCCTTCTCCGTAAATGTCATCAGAGATATTCCTCCGCCTCTCGTTTAGTTTGGCTAATCGCCTCCAACAACTTCTTTTTGCTTCATCAAACTCTAGAAGCTCATGAAATCTACTCAAACTCCGAAATCATTAAAGATCAGACCATTCTCTTAGCAGTAAACTCAAGGGTAACTTGAGTTTTAGGAACATATAGTTGAACCTGCTACATTGTTGGCAGAAACGCTGTCTGAAACAGGCAACAACGGCTGCCGGTGCCTTGGTGTGAACTCCGCACACTTTGTGTCAGTGGTGGTACAGCTTGGCCTCTGTCAAATCAGCTGTGCATTTATCTACATGGCACAGACGCGACGAAACACGGGCACTGCTGCTTCCACTATTGGGCCCTCTCACCCTCTCCATCACTTTCTTCTTCTTCTTCTTCTTATCTTCCTCCCCTACAACCTCCTCCTATTCCTATCAAGTTACTCTTCTCTTGTCTTCTTTTACCCTCCATTTTCTGGATTTGATTCAGGTTATAGTTTTAGGTTGATGATGGTGGTGGGTTAGAACTCTGGTATGTTACCAATGTGGAGGGAGGGTCCTGGGTGGTATTGAAGAGTGGAGTGTTTAGATTTTAAGTGATTAAAAGGTGAAGAAAAGTCAGGAAGATGGACCACTGTGCTCTTGTATGCTTCTCTCTGGTGGAATATGATGCAGGTTTATATGATCCTGTAGAGAGAGAGAGAGAGAGAGAGAGAGAGAAAGAAGGTAAAGGGATATGGGTTTAGGCCTAGTTGGCTTTAGAAGCTTAGAGGCGTATTATCTGATGCTTAGACCCGATTTCTGGTTAAATTTGTGGGTTTGAGATCCGAACCTTGATTAAAACTGGATAGCCTTGGTATTAAAGAAAGAATCAATGCCCTTGTTGGTAACTATGGAGACTGTTCATTGACCAGCCACGCATGGGCTCGTGTAATAAATCATAAATGGGCAGGATCCTTTGTTGATGTGATTGTTGGATTCCTTCCTCTGCTTACACAACCTTGGTCCGTTCAAGGTTAACTTGGGATGGAAGAAATAATTGGGTTATAGCATTTGGAGGTTTTTTTAACCTTGGCTTGTGCTTTAGATTGGGTGTTTGATGTAATATCATCTTGTCATGGACCATGGGGCAATGCTTGGACCAGAAAGCTTATATGCCATTAGGACCCCTTTGATTACTTTCCTGTGCCAAAGTCTTTATCATCTTTACTCATGTACATAGTTTTCTGAATTCGGATTTGAAGCTTTGAGACCATTTTAATCAAAAGAATGAACTATAAACATCTCTGTTTTTCTGTTTTTTTTTTTATAATTAAATTGTATCTCAACTCCCAACTTTGTTTAACTTGCTTCTATATATATATATATACAGTGGGAGGAGTGGCACTGGATAGAGAAGGGGACCCTCATGATAGATTTCCACTGCATCATCTCTCTCTTAATGGTTGGCTGAAACAAAAGAGAGTTGCAACATCTTTTTGTCTGTCTTCCTTTTGGATATTAAATAAAAATCTTGTCAGAACTCTTTCTTACTTGTTTTTGGGTTTTGGGGCTTTGTTTTTTTTACAGTGGGTGAAACAGTAAAAAAAAAGAGAGTACTAGAATTAGTGGTTTTGTGATGGAGACAGGACAATAAAAAAAGGACACACAATGTCATACAAAGTTGTTTACATAAGAAGAATAAATGATGATGTCCTTTCATTGCTATCTTTCAACAACTTTGATCTAACTACTAAAATTTTTTACCTTTAAATTTTTTTTCCAAAGATATAATGAACCAGGTACAAACTAATGTTGGAGTTAGAAGATAACTATATATGGATTATACCTTTTTTTTTCTGCGGTTTCGAATTTGAAACGGAATATTCGTTTTGTATTTGTATTTCATTTCACCGGTTGTATAATCCAAAATTGGACGTCTATATATATATATATAACACATTAATTTGATCCTCTAAGAATTATGTTTTTTTTTGGTCCATGTGAGAAGGAAATGTCAAATAGAACAAGACAAAAGCACAACAAAAGGTGTGTGTGTTTTAGGTAAATTCCTACTTATCACTGAAAATATCAGAAAAACCAGGAGGCAGGTTTTTCTCTCCTTTAGCATGCAATATGAAAACAAATTGGCCTCTGTAAATTTTGTTTAGGGCAGCAATCGTTAACTTTTGTGGTGGAGAATCCAATTTCTTAATTTATATCAAATTGATTACACAAATTTAAATTTTCAATATAATAATAATAAAGTTCCAAATATAGTTATACATTTTTAAAATTCTAAAATGGATTGAAACGTGTATAGCCCTTAGTACTATTTATACCTGCAATATAACTACGAAATCCGAGAATCTGTTAACAGTATCCATGGTCATATATATCAATCCACTTTAATTTCAAAAATTAATTCGGTTTTCATGTAACACACGCATAGATATACGCAGGGTTAATTAGCTCCACTGAATAATTATATTTAATATTAAAATTTTTTAAAAATAGATTTGACGATATAATTTTAAACAATTTTTTATATTTGTTTTATCCCGTGGTCGACGTTTCAGAGTTCGATAGTATTCGATTAGAAATTTCATATATACGGTAGTATTCGATTATTTATTTTAACAACTTTGGCTATTCTTGGAATTCTCTGTTATAATCGGCCAAAATGAAAGTTGGTGTTAATAAACTACTGCAATGGCATATAGTTTTGTTTTAATTTAACTCTAGAGTTCTTTATTCACTTTTATTCAGTGGACATTCCAAACTGAACCATATCGAACAAAAAATTTTGGTATTTTTTTTCTGAACCATACCATTCAAAATTTTTGAACGGTATATCTTTATAGAACCGAATTTTCCAAAATCGAACCGAACTAACTTTATAAATTTTCTGAAAAACCGATTTTTTTTAAGAAAATCTAATTTTTTAAATAAAAACCGAAACCAAACTATACCAAAACCGGAACCAAACCGAATAATATACGGTATTAATTTGGTACAAATTTTAGAATACCGAATAAACCGTTTTCGAATCGAACCACTAAAATTCCGAACCGAATCCTGAAATGTCCACCCTAACTTTTAATTCTTTTTTGCTAATAATAAGCATGAATACATAATGTCTAACGTGTTATAACGATAAAAAAAATTGATATATTTTCTATTAACAAAAATAGATAAATCACACTTAAATCACGGTCTTATATTTTGGAATCCAAACAAATTATGATTTATAACAAATATTTGAATGAATTAGAGTTTGATCTTTAGTGAGACAAATCATTAACATCATAAAATATATCTTAACAAAAAACACAATTCAATCGGTCGAAGATTATAAAAATTGATGATTATTAAGAACTATCTGAAGGTATGTTGTTTTCTTTTATATAAAAATATTTAAACTCTCATTTATCGTTCTACAAAATATTTAACTGTTATTTATATAAACCTGAAAATATAATATGCATTAATAGATGTTGAGATTAAATGTGTAATGGGCATATATATGTTACTGTATTGTGTTTGGGTTTTTACGGTTCTCTTACAGAAGAGCATCTTCTCCACCTCCCTTCAATTTCATTACAAAGAACAAATGAAATTCATATCGAATTATATCATACAAAAAATTGTCGTCTCCTACGTAACGAAATGCCGTGAATGAGTTGACAAAAAAAATGTTTTTATTTTTTTTTTCATTTTGGCCCATCAACAAAGAAAAGATTCCAAATCCTAACCCGATAAAGCAGAATGGATACATATGATCCACAAATACGAGAATATATATATACATATACACACGATAATATATATATATATATATAGAAAAAAAATACGTATATGGTAGTTACAATAATTACCTAACTAATGCATTAGTTAACAAAATCCAAAAAAAAATTAACGAAAATGATGATTATTTAATTCGTGTAGATATTTGAGAAATTTTGAATTCAAGTGTAGTTTTTTGTCAAATTTAAAATACTTGTATGAAAAAAATATTTGAGAAATTTTGAATTCAAGTGTAGTTTACGCATTACATGAACATAGTCACGTAAAAAGAGTGACGTGTTGTTTTGTGTAAGCCATAACCGATTCCATATTCTTTTTTCCATGCATTTTCTTTCAATGAGAACTTCAACGTAGTTATTATATTCTATTGTTAATTATCTGTTATGAAATTAAACAGAAAATAACTATCGGGTATATATATAGAACTAACTGTTGAGAAAACCTTTTAACAAAAAAAAACCGTTGAGAAAATCCAATTTGATTAGCTCAACTGATAAAATAGAAATGCAAAGGGTTTGTCTCGCCCTGATTTCGAACCTCAAATTGGAGAGAAAACATTCATATGGTTTTCTATCGATCCATGAATTAGTTTGGACCTCGGTCCAATATAACTGATTAGAAAAAAAAATATTAAGAAAACTACTTTGCATGGAATCTACAAAAAACCACTTTGCAGGTGGTTAATTATTTATACAGATTGTTGTTATTACATGCATCAAGCGTGTCATGAGAGATTTTTATATTATATATATATATATTGATGTAAAAATTTATTTGATTCACGAGTCAATCTATATTTTACCGAGTTCGGTTCAACAAATTTGAGTTCGAAAGAAAAACGGGTTGAAGGAGGTGTTCTCATCGCGACTCAGGTCGGTGAATCCATTAATTAATTCGCAGATCAGGAAAATAATTTTTAAAATTTTAATTTTTAGTATATTTTGAATATTTTTATTATATTTAATATTTTTTAATTACAATCTCTCTTTACCTATATTATTTTAGAATATTTAATCTATTATATATATAATTAGTAAAATTTTAATTATATTTTTTTTTAGTTAGATATTTGGTCCGACTCATGATTTAAGGTGAGTTGAGATAAATCAAATATTTTTCACCTCGCTGAAAAACGGGTCGGAATATATCGAGTTCATAAATTTTGAGATCGAGAAGAATTGGACCGATTTGAACCGAAATCGAGTCCATTTTACGCCTCTAATTTGAACCTTTGAAAGTAGGTGATCCAATATCCGTATTGGATAGGATTTTGTTCCCATGTGAAATCATTTCTTTTGTTTGCTTTGGTATGATATTTCCTAGAAAAAATCATTATATTATTGATTTGATTAGCACTAAAAAAAAACTTTTAAATTACTAGCAGAATGTCCCATGCATTTCGATTTGATGTTTGAGTTTATATAACCCTTGGTTTCGAGAAAATTCGAAAAAACAAACACGGCGGTGAAATTTATGAATGACTAAATACCTAATTAATAAAGATTAAGAACCTTAAATTATGGATTAATCCGTTAATGACGCGAAGGGCAACTAGTCGTCATAATCATCATCCGAAATCCAATATTGCATTGCATTTAATTCGCTAATTTATTTTGGTGATGATGAAACTCTAAGTGCTACCAAAGGAATTTAAATGGATAAGTTTTTCAAAGCGGATATGATAAACGTAACAGAGTTTTATTTATTTATATGATAAATTTTTTAATTTAATATATTCTCCATAATAATAATAATAATAATAATAATAATTTGTAAAACAAATATAACTAATTGTATCTATTGATCAATATGAAGTATTTATTACATCCGTCTTGTTTCAATTTTCTTTAACTTTTCTCAAGCGGAAAACATATGCTTGAATTATTCGTATAGTTTACAATTCGTATGAACATATACAAAAAATTATACATTCAATATTCATTAATATAACTATTTATATACAATATAATATAAATTCAGATATTTATATGTCGTCTAATAAGACGTTAATTAAATTTTATAGTTTTTCTCACGTATGTATAGGATTCTACTAGATATTTATGTAAAATCATAGGGAGTTAGGAACAATAGAGATGTCCCATAACAAGCTTTGGGGCCCAAAGTGAACGACAAATTTTTATAGGCAATTTTCGCAAATAGTAAAAAGATACAGGGCTGAAAAATACTTTTAACCATACAAGAGAGTTAAAAAACAATTACAGTTGCAGTAAATTATAAACATATCCCTCTCTCTCTCTCCCCCCTCAGTTAGATTCTTCCGGCGAGACTTTCGGAGAAGTGACGGGAAAAAGCGGGAGCAGCTGCGGCGGCTCCGAATCTCGCGGCGTAGAAATCGGAGATGGGTGCAGATAAAAACCTTTTTCCGCAATTGCCCTCTCTTCATTCGACAATGGCGACATCTTGTCGAACGGGTCTCCCTCGTTCTTCAGCGGCGTCACGGGGCTGTTCAGACCCAGCTTCGGAAAATCCAGACAGCTAGGCGACAGAATCTCCGGATTCCTCGGCGAAAATCCTGAGCTACCGTTAAATCCTCCTCCTCCTCCGCCGCCGATCATGAGGGTATTGATCATGAAGCTGTTCTTGAGGTTGTGTCTCCTCTCGTAGAGCTTGAATCCGGTCTGTTTCTTCGGCGGTACTGTCTTGATCGGCGGAATAATGAAATTTCCCTTCCCGGCGGAGGTGGTCGCCGGCGGGGAAGGTGAATCTGGGGACCTGGGGGAGGAAGAGGAGGAGCCAGTGAGCATCTGGACGACATGTTTGAAGGATGAAGTGTCGGCTTGGACAAAGGTTGTCGGGTAATGATCAGATCTGGTGACGATGTGATGATGCAGAGATCCAGTCCCATTGATGTACGAACAAGATGATGATGAAGGAGAAGCAAAATTTCTGGATTCTTCCAGATGTTTCGTTGAACTCTTCATCGATAAATTCATTTCAGAAAAGATTCTAGAGTCGAATGAGGTATGGTTATACACGAAATCTCCTCCTCCTCCTCCTTCTTCTTCTTCCTCACAAAGGGTTTTCTTCTAACACTCCATTGAATCTCTCTCTCTCTCTCTCTCTCTCTCTCTCTCTCTCCCTTGTCTCTATCTTTGTCGCGACTCTCTTTGGATCTCTGTAACTGTGTATCGAGTGAAGGAGAGAAGAGAGAGGGGAATTAAAAGGGGGAGTGTTTGTTTCCCAAAGCCACAATGAGGTTTTGGGATTATAAAAGGAGGAGAGAGCATTTGCATTGGCTTGGCTGTGATTTCTTTCTTTAATTTGGAATCTTTCTTTATTACATTTTTCTTTTTTCAAAGGGGAAAGTTGACATTCATGATTTTTGCCCTTTGAGCATCAAAAGGTATTTTTTTTATTAGGTAATTTTGGTTTTAATATATATCCACTAAGTGCTTCCAATTTTAATGTTATTGAATTAGTAAACAATCTGGTTTTCTATTGAAGTAAAATGAATTCTAGAGTTTGAATTATCTTTTTCCAACGACAAAAGACAATGTCATTAAAATCCATTTATTAATTTTTCTCTGAAAAGTCAAGATTTTTAAAAAAAAAATAATGTTAGTGGTTTGATCTCTCATGTGATTCTTTATTAAATATGTATACATATATAAGATTTGAACCTAATTTTTATATTTTATGAGTTCAAAATTAGCCATTGTACCAAAGTTAAAAAGCTATCTTTTGTCATTTGGATATGAGTTGTAATTTTGTTTGTTGAATTTTGAGTTTTATACCCATTTTTAAAATTTATTTATATATACATAAAAAATATATAACAAAACTATGCAAAAAGGTTAAAAAAATATATAAATAAAGATTACGTACTATGAATTATCCTTCATTGGTACCATGTATTTTAAACATAAGTTCAAACAAAAATCCTCTACCCAAAAATATTTGCATAAACTTGATTAAAAATTCGAAAAAAAAACGTTAAAGAAATTAAATGTGATTTTATAGAATAAGACGCGGCACCATAAATGCATCCCCTTTGAGCCTCTCTTCTCTCAACATCGACTAAATCAAATCTATTCGATGTTTCTTCCATGAAATCGACTTGATATATATATATATATACAGAAATACAAACATATTTTAATTAGTATTTACAGAAACAATATATCTAGTTTATCTGAAATATAATCTATATATAATTATCTCATATTTCTCATATATACAATTCTATTTTGATCTACACATGGATGCTATATATATACATTTTGCTATAGATATTTAATGTGTGGACCACTATAATTTCTCCGAAAGTTAATAATTTATGAATAATCTGAAGTTTGAAATTCATTTATTTTTAAAAGCAAAAGTTAAAGTAGGCAACTAATTAAAGGGGAACATAAATGCAATAGCGAATTTCTGATTATTCCACACAAGGGAATTTGTCTTAGAGCTACGAGTCAATAAATTAATAATGAAAATATACATAATTATAATATAAGCATTTGATTCTCTCACATAACACTGCGTTATATACATGTATATATAATTAATAATTTGTTTTTTCTTTATAAACTTATTATTTAAGTTTTCTACTATTACTGTCTCTGTCCAATGAATGTATGGACCTATAGACCCATTAATATAATAAATCTTGCAATATATTTGATTCAACATATTCTCTATATGACTATTTCTTATGATTAGACTTTTGTCACGGAACAAAAAAAAACTAAAATAAAATAACACACTTAATTTTCCATTAGAATAAATTCAATAATCTTTTCAACACAAAGTAAGAAAGATTCCGTGTGCATGCACTGCATGTATTGAGCCGCAAACCCTAAATATACGAACTAATCGCCTGCCTATATGGACACGTGTACGGTTCTCACTGGGTAATCCTTCTCAATTAGAGTCAAAGCATGAGCTTGGTAATCTTACAACGTAATTAATTAAATTCGGTTTTGGCCGGTCCGACTAATCAATTACATGATATTTTATAAATATGACATCATAATTCATATATTTTACAAAATAAAATAACAATAATTAGGTTTTATGATTGGTTAAACACAAAATCCAATTAGGGATGAACGGTGAATATATGTATTCGTAATTATATTCCCGAAATAGAATATTCGATGATGAGTTTTAGGGACAAAGCCAAACAAGAACTTGTTCCTCATCTCGTGTTCCAAAGTCAATGCTTTTGGTGTCGGAAGCACATCTTTTTTATTTTAGATATGAACACGTCATCCACTCCTCCAAGTTTAAATTTTACTATTCTAATAATATATTTTAAATAAAAATAAAAAGGATTTGACGAAGTTATTGTTCTTATTTTTGGATTTAATACTGCGTTTGAACTTAGAAATTAGCTTAATCAACACACACCCCCACATGTGTATATATATGGATAATTGTTTTCTAAGACGGGTTTGGTTTGACTATGTATGTGTGTGTCCTTACATATATATTTTGGTTGAGAATTGATAAGAAAGTGAGAGTTTTACAAAGCATGACGTTTTAAGATATCTAGGTTTTATTTTTTTTTAAATAAAATCTTGGATTTTTTTTTTCTTATTTTAAAGGTTGGACTATTTTCTTTTGTCATTTTTGCATAGATGTGAGGTCTTAGTTATTATATTCCAGTATATATACTCTCTCGTCTTTTGTCGTCGGAAAAAAAAACATAAAATTAATGGTCAATTTGTAAAATTTGGAAAAAAAAAATGAAATGTATGTATGTATGTATGTATGTATGTATGTATGTATGTATGTATGTATGTATGTATGTATGTATGTATGTATGTATGTATGTATGTATGTATGTATGTATGTATGTATGTATGTATGTATGTATGTGGTTGAAAGTCAATTGCAAGAAGATGGCTCATATAAGTCAGAAGCAAAATCATAATAATAAGTAAAAATGGAGGATTGATCTTTACTGCCTAACCCATTTTAGGTTTCCACTATCTTTACACTTTTTTGGTTGCAACAATTTCATAATTAACTAGTAATTGTTTTTTTCAAAGGCGTTCATAAATTTTAAAACGACAAACGATTCATTTATTTATTTTTTAAATGTACGTGTTAATTGGAATTTAAAGGTTGCATAAATTTCTTGAGAAATACTACAGCTGCAATCATTTGAATTGTTTAGAACAAATTAAATCAAAAGTAAATACAAGTGGCTAACAAATAATTTCTCGTCATAATCATGCACACAACATCATGGCCGGTTAATTAATTAGGTTGTAATAAATTAGATTTAAGGTTAGATTCTGTCAAATTGGAAAATAATTTAGGTAAAGGCTGTCAACACCTTGCATTATTAAACCAGTGGCCTAATTTTACATCAAAACAAATGATGGAATTTGACTAACTAGACAAATGGGTTTGGCCCTAGTTTGGTTTAAGATGTTTCAGGACTCGATTGGTTAAGCAACAACTAAAAGTAACCCAAAAAAAATAAAAATAAAAAATAGTAGAATTTTTTTTTATGTAATGGTAGATTTAAAATATTATAAATGAATATTGTTCTCATTATTGTTAACCGGATGAAACATAATTCCATATGGATTCATTAAGTTCGATTATCTAATTACCATCATTGTTTTCAGGACTTTAGAAGTGCTATCAGTTCATTAATTACAATCACGATGATAGTTTCATAATCTCCAAGGCATGCAGACGTTTACCAGTGAAGTGAATAGAATGATGATGGTGATAATGATGATGATGATGATGATGATGAATGATCATGATGTACATACCGGTTTTTTCATAAGGTGTAATGTAAAAAACATAATTCAAAATCTCTCATCTTCATCTTCAAGAAGAGCATTCTCATCTTCATAAAAAAACCTTAGACTTGTGCTCCCATGGCTCTGTATCAAGTTACAGATATCTGATGAGCTCCACAGAAAATTTCCCTTTCTTCGTCGTGTTTATCTCTCCGATCTGCAAAAAAAACCCGAATCATTGAGACCGGTACCGAACTCCGCAACAGATTTTATGTTATTGAATCCTTTAAAGGCCTCACCTTGAGCCTCCCTTTCCCGCTGACCGACACGATATCTCCTGTTTTCAGAGTGGTTCCGTTCTTTGTAACGGTTAACCAATTCACACGTACGTCCTTGTTACTGCATACATACAATGGGATTAGGCCGTTTTCTTGGCAATACGAGGTTTATATGAACGAGAAAAAAAAACTCTTAAGAGGGCATTACCTAATCAAATCAACTAATTTAGACCGAGAAATCTTGAAACCTGCACTGGCTAGTGCATCAACTCTCAATGATGCCTCCACGGTCTTGAAGGACTTGGTCCTGAAACAAATCTATCAAATGGATACAAACCCATTCAAGAACAGCAAATATGTGATTTGAAGGATTAAGCACCGGTCTTTGGATGGTCGTACCTCGGAGGTTCGTATTCAAGAGCAAGCAAGGGTATCTTTGTACAAGAGACGGAAACATTGCCAACCTACGATTGAATAACCAGATCACATGATTAGTACATCAAAATATTATGCAGATTCTCATATCGCGATTGACTTAAAAGGGTTACCTTGTCGAGAGCTGAAACAATGAAGTCAGCGAGTTCAGGAACGATCAGGACCTGGGCTCCCTTTTCTTCCTGCAAAATCATCGCGGAAAAGGGTTTGGAAGAGATTTCGGTTTAGGCTGAGGAGTAGGCTATGAAAATATAAAACACAAAAAACTTTTGTAAAAATTGTTGAGTTCAGTGATGGAAACCATGAATCTGAAGATACCTCAGCAAGAGTAGAACAGAGTCAATCAGAATTCCGGAAGATACCTGCAAGATGATGTCTCCAAGCTTTTCCCTCGCAATCCCTGTCCCGAGAATTGCTCCAAGGAAATCCCCATGGGAACAAGGCTGGAAGCTGAAATTCCCCGTGACACTAGAGCGTGACAAAACACACTCAATATAAAGATCAAGATTCTGGGATATGGGTGAAATTCAGAAAGAAGGAAAGCATATTTATGGCTTATACCTCAAAGCAGCAACTATATCTGGATCACTGGTTAGTACATCGGGGTGTCCAATGGAGATCCTACACCGTTCAGCCTAGACGGTTGAAGGAAAGGAATATCAGCTTGTTTCACATGTCAGACCAATACAAAAGAAGAAGACCCGACACCTGCACTGAAGAACCAACCTCAGGATAACCTCCCTGGGCAATTGCTTTAACATCTGCAAGACTTTTCAGTACCGAAATCGATTCCTTAACGATAGGTGGTGTTAAAAAATCTGTGTGAAGGACTTCTCTTCTCGATGCTGCTCGTCGGGCCTACATTGCAAATTGAAAAAGAATAAAAGAATTTGCTCGAAGATTCCTCTTTTGGGGCGTGCAAAGAGCAGAAACGAAGTGCAGAAATGGCGGTACCATCTCAAGGATATGTTTGACTTCTTTAGCAATGGCTTGGTCTCCCACACCTTTAAGTAAAACATCGACATCTCCCTTGATGGCTTCAACCACATGAAATTTTCTCAAAGCTGCATTTGATTAATGGCATATCAACACAATGCCCATAAATAGAAAATGGGTGCATGCATATATCTAACTTGATATTCGGCATTGTTCATATATCCCTTTTTAAACTCTCTCCACCTGCCATTTCCTTGCTTCAGGATCATCCAACAAGGAAACAGCTAACCAGATCGAGTATCTCACACGATCTCCTGAACAGTTGGTTTCTCCTCCTGACAAAGTTCATCATCTGAACTTTTGACCCAGAAGCAGAACAGTTGAACATCCCGGCAAGATTTTCAGTGACATGTAAAAAGACACAATCTAACATGACAGATACTTCGTATCACATGAGTAGAAAAGTTCAACCAAGAACCCTTTCTCAACCTCTGGAAGCACCAAGATAATTGATATCACAGTACAAAAGGCAAAAAAAGGTTGGATTATTTTTCAGTTTCCATTACAAGAACTCTGGCATTCATGGAGGATCGAATTCGGCCAAGCAACTTCGTTTGCCGAGTACGATGATGCTAAATCCCACATCAATTCAAAACCTCAAAGACTGCGCAATTTTAGACCAGAAACGATGAAACTTGAAGACAATCACGACCAGCAGAAAAACAAACAGAGACACGAAACCTGGAAATTGCAGGGTTATGTAAACGAACCGGAATGTCGGAATGGGAATAAAGCGGGAACGGAGCTAGAACATCCATGGAAAATTAGGGTTTTTCTGTTTGTGAGAAGATGGGAGGAGATCGTCACTGCCCTTCTCAGGACGACCCATGGAGGAGACAAGGTGGTCGCCGCCGCCATAGCCGGTAAATCCTGAACACACGACAGCAATTCGAAAATCTCCGTTTCCACCAAAAAAAAAAAAAAAGAAAAAGAGGTCAAAGCTTCTACGTCAACTAGAGAATACAAAATGGCATTCTTGTAATAAAAGAGAACTAAAAAGGGTAGATAAGTCACTAGAAAATCCAGTTAGAATTTAGAAGTTAGCGCGCCCATACTGCGGGAACTCAGAATCGGGGAAATTGCAAAAATGACTTTAAATGTCATTTTTACTTCACGGCATGACTCTGTCTTTTTTATAAAAAAAAACATCATCATCTTCTAACCTTATAATTGTATCTTTCCAAAAATACCCTTACCTTTTTAATTATTATTAAATTTAAAATAAAAATATTTCAGCTCTCTCTCTCCTCTCCCAAGCTCTCTCTCTCCGTTTGTATATGTCGAACCTGCAAACTCTCTCTCTCCTCTTAAACGTTCTCTGTCTCTAAACTCTCTTCATCTACAGTCTTTTTTTCAGCTAATTTGTTGTGAAAAACAAGCAAAAGCTTGAGACAATTCATCGATTAAACACATATATGAATAATTGATAAGTATTTTTCTAATATTCATTATTAAGTGTGAGCATTTGTGATTTGTTTTGTCATCTTTATATTTAATTCATATGATACAGATGAAACAAATATGACATATGCATCAGCAATACCATGATTCACGTGACTCATACCGGTCGAAATCGTTAAATTTGTGAAATTCGTCAAAATGGAAAAATTCGGTAAACTGGTCATACATACGTGTCGAAATGGTCAACTGGTCATACTCCTAAACTGTTCATACTTGTCAAATTGGTCAAACTGGTCATATTCGCAAAATTGGTAATACTGATCATAATCATCAAATTGGTCAAACTGGCCATACTCATAAAATTTGTGATATGATATGATTATTACTTTGTTCACTTTTAAAACGATGGATTATGCGATTTCGAACAAGTATGACTGTCTGACCAATGTATGACCGTATGACCGTTTGGGTACAAAAAAAAAAGGCCTAAATTAAATTTAAACTATTTAAAAAGTTGTATAGGGATTATAAAAATGCTACTGCATCGTTTTGGAGTTCTAATTTCACATGAAAAAAAAACTCTCAACATAAGTCAATTGTATCCAATGTGTTACACAAACACTACTAGTACTCTAGGTCTTCTTTGAAAAAGGTTACATTGACATCCAAAAAAAGTGTTCAATCCATATTGTTACGACCAATTTCAACTTGAGAAATTTGTCATATGATATGATTATTACGATGTTAACACTTTTAAAACGATGAATCAAGCAATTTCGAACAAGTTTGACCGTCTGACCAAGGTATGACCGTGTGACCGTATGACCGTATGACCATTTGGATACGAAAAAGAAAGACGTAAATTAAATTTAAACAATTCAAAAAGTTGTATTGGGTTATAAGAATACTATTGCATCGTTTTGGAGTTCTAATTTCACATGGAAAAAAAAATCTCTCAACATAAGTCAATTATATCCAATGTGTTACACAAACACTACTAATACTCTAAGTCTTCTTTGGAAAGAGTTACATTGCATAAGTCAATTGTATCTAATGTGTTACACAAACACTACTAATACTCTAAGTCTTCTTTGGAAAGAGTTACATTGACATCCAAAAAAGTGCTCAATCCATATTGTTACGACCAATTTCATCTTGAGAAATTTGTCATATGATATGATTATTACGATGTTAACACTTTTAAAACGATGAATCAAGCAATTTCGAACAGGTTTGACCGTCTGACCAAGGTATGACCGTGTGACCGTATGACCGTATGACCATTTGGATACGAAAAAGAAAGACGTAAATTAAATTTAAACAATTCAAAAAGTTGTATTGGGTTATAAGAATACTATTGCATCGTTTTGGAGTTCTAATTTCACATGAAAAAAAAAATCTCTCAATATAAGTCAATTGTATCCAATGTGTTACACAAACACTACTAATACTCTAAGTCTTCTTTGGAAAGAGTTACATTGACATCCAAAAAAAGTACTCAATCCATATTGTTACGACCAATTTCAACTTGAGAAATTTGTCATATGATATGATTATTACGATGTTAACACTTTTAAAACGATGAATCAAGCAATTTCGAATAGACATGACCGTCTGACCAAGGTATGACCGTATAACCATTTGGGCACGAAAAAGAAATCCGTAAATTAAATTTAAACAATTCAAAAAGTTGTATAGGGGTTATAAGAATATTATTGCATCAATTTCGAACGAGTATGACCATATGGCCAAGGTATGACCGTCTAACCATAGTATGACCGTCTGACTATTTGGACACGAAAATAAAAGGTCTAAATTAAATTTAAATGATTCGAAAAGTTGTATATGTGGATGACCATAGTATGATCGTCTGACCATTTAGACACGAAAATAAAAGGTCTAAATTAAATTAAATTTAAATGATTTGAAAATTTAATATGTTACAAAAATACTACTAATATTTTATATTTACAATGAAAAAGTATGATCAATATGACCAAAATCTGATCGGTATAATCGATATGACATTTCGAGAGCTAAAATTTCTTTGAGAATTTTTATCAAACATTTTCCATGCATTCTCAAATTCTTCAACTTTGGAGTATCGAATCTCCGCTGTATAGGAGAAATTTGATTAGTGTAAGCTTAAATTATATTATTCCATTCCATTGAATCGAATCAAAATAAAACCCTAATAAGCTACAAAATTCTATATATAAAGAACATGTTTGATCAACACTTTTAAATTCATAAATTCATAATTTTTGAAAAAGTATGACTAGTATAGTCGTATGACGAGTCTGGCAGTATGATCGTATGATCAAAGTATAATCATCTAATAAAATATGATCGGTATGACCAAAGTCTGCTCGTCTGGCCAAATTCTGCCCGTATGACCAATATCTGATTATTTGACCAAAGTATGATCGGTATGACCAAAGTCGGATCGTATGACCAAAGTCTGACTGTCTGACCAAAGTCTGATCGTGTAATCATTTGATTGTATGACCGATATTAAACTTGAAAATTTGTTATATGAGATGATTATTACCATGTTAAGATTTTTAAAATGACAAATTCATCAATTTTCAACAAGTTTGATCGTCTGACCAAAGTCTAGCTATATGACCAAAGTCTGATCGTATGATCAAAGTCTGGTCGGTATGATCATTTGTACATGAAAAATAAAGACCTAAATTAAGTTTAAACAATTCAAAAAATTATTTAAGGGTTATAAAAACACATTTTCATCGTTTTGGTGATCTAATTCCTTGTGTAAACAAATCTATCAACTTAACCCAAAGTCTGACCGTCATATCAGACCAAATTCTGACCGTATGACCAAAGTGTGACCATATGACCAAAGTCTGACCGATATGACCAGTATGTTGTTTTAAGAGCCAAAATTTCTCTGAGGATTTTTATCGAACACTTTCTATGCATTCTCAAATTCTTCAACTTTGGAGTGTCAGATCTCGTCATAGATAGAAATTTGACAAGTATAACAAGAAAACTAAGAAAATTGTTAATAGAATCGCAACGAAATCTCTTTGGGAGAAGAAAAAAATCAGAAAATGTTTGTGAGTTTTAATTTTTAGAAAAAGTGAAAGAATATCTTTTTCACTCCAAAAGTTTTTTGCCGGTTCACATATAAAAGTGCCACGTATTCAACTTCATAATGGCTAAATTGGTCTTTTCAGCATTTTTGTTTTTTTTTTAAACCCTAACCCTAAAAGGTCATGCCGTGAAGTACAAATCGACATTTAGGGTTATTTTTGCAATTTTGCCCTCAGAAGCTTTGAAAACACGATTCGTATTCCTAAGTTATAATCTGTCCTTACCCAAGACGAATTTCCCAATTCCTTAAACAATTAAGGTTTTTGAATTTCGTTATCTATTCGTTCATTTTGGCTGTAACTTCTTATTCACGGTAATATCACCGATTTCGATCTCAGCGGAAGAGTGTATATATGTGTTTGTGTTCCTTGATTCTACTCTTCCTCTTCTCTGATTTCGACCTGATTCTGTTCTAGGGTTTCGATCTACGCACGTTCTGGGCTATTTGTATCAGACAGAATTCTTCATTCCCGTTATATGCTCCCTCTGTTTTACGTCTTCGAATACTCTGTTTCATACAGAGGAATGTCCACATATCGTACCAGATGGAGATGCTGGTTCGGTTTATAGTTTTCGCAACATTGGTTTATTCTTTTGTAAATTGCTGACTAGGATAGCCATGCTTTTTGTATTTTCAGAGTTTATTAGCGATTTGTTAGCTTAATTTATGTTGTATAAATACATGTGAATAGCAGAGGAATGAATTAAGGAATTATTTTCAGAAACCATTCTCGCTTATTCATCTGATTGTTATGGTATCAGAGCAATAAGCTTTTTTCTTCCGCTCTCTGATTTCCTTCACCGAAATCTCTTCTTCTTTTCATGGCGACTGATTCTTCGACGTCTGAGCCTTCTCCTTTACCTTCTTCGGATGCTTCTTCTGTTCCCCTCTCTCTTGATCCCTATGCCAATCCTTTGTATCTCCATGCGGCTGATTCCTCCAGCATTTCTCTGGTCACCGACAAGCTCATCGATGAGTCAAATTATAACTTCTGGGCAACATCGATGATTCAGGTCCTTACGGCCAAAAACAAGCTTGGCTTCATCTATGGTACTATCCCTCAACCTCTTGAGTCTCACGGTGAATATGGTGCTTGGATAAGATGTAATGCCATTGTTGGTACTTGGATAAATAACTCTGTCTCCCCTGATGTTAAGACGATGATTATGTATATCGAAAATGCTCACCTCAAATGGACCACCCTTGAAACTCAGTTTAAACAGAAGAATGCGTCTAAGATTTTTCATATTGAGCAGCAAATTGAATCCCTGCAACAGGGATCGCTTGACCTGAACACTTTCTATACCAAACTTAATTCTCTCTGGGAAGAACTGAAAATGCATGACCCGGTTCCTGTTTGCGTCTGTGGGAGTTGCACTTGTGATTCAAAGACCAGATTGATGGATTACTATGACAAAAAGAATGTTGTAAGATTCTTGATGAAACTTACTGAGTTCTTTCACCCTGCTCGGCGTCAGATTCTTATGCTTGACCCGATGCCTTCTATTCGGAAAGTTTACGGGATGGTTGCTCAGGAAGAGCATCAACGTATTGCTTTGCCCCCTATTCATGACTCTGTTGTTTTTCAGGCCAATATCTCACCCACTTTCAGACCTCGCCCTTTCTCTTCTTCTAAATCTAGACCTTTCTGTACCCATTGTGGGATTTCGGGACACACTATTTCCCGTTGCTACAAGATTCATGGTTACCCTCCTTCTAACCGTTTGCCTCCTTCGTCCAAACCTGGTCTATTGCCCAAACCTCGCTTTTCTACCTCAGATAATACCCAGAATGTTGTCAATATGGTGGGACTGGATGATGATATTTCGGCTCGTTCTCAGTCTGTTCTTCCTGACAACTCGGCTCAGACCACACTTGCACAAGCTCAGGCTCTGTTTGATCAGTTTCAGAATCAACTCAAAGGGCTAAGCAGTTCTGCTATGGATTCAAATGTTCCAGCCTCTCCCTCCCACCCTGCACCAGGTATATTTCCCTTTCCTCATTTTGCTTTATCCTCTTTTTCACCTACTTTAAAGCCTACAAACAATGTCTGGATTCTTGATACGAGAGCTAGTTGTCATATATGTTGTGATAATCGTTTGTTCTCTGAAATTCATCATATCCCGTCTTCTCTGGTCACATTACCTAATGGGTCTACCTTATCTGTATCTCAGTCAGGCACGGTACCCATTGGCATTTCCTCTTCTCTGAACCTTTTATCTGTCTTATTTGTTCCAGCTTTTCATTTTAACCTCCTAAGTGTTAGTGCTCTCACACGAGACACGCCTTTTACTGTCTCTTTTTCTCATGATTCATATATGATTCAGGACCCTACTCAGGCCTTGATGATTGGGAGGGGTAAGAAGCGTCACAACCTTTATTTCCTCGAGCTGCAAGGCATTCCTTCTTCGTCTTCCCCTGTTTTTCCCGATGCTCTCTGCACTGCTCTTTCTGCTCCTGCTTCCATTGATCTATGGCACACTCGCCTTGGTCACCCCTCCTTCCTACGTGTTCAGGCTCTTGGTTCTTCTTCTTAGCTTCAGTTCACACCCACTACAGAGTCTCCTTCACACTGCTCCATTTGTCCAATGCCGAAACAGAGGAAACACCTGTTCCCGGTTTCTGGGAAACTCTCTCAGGATCCTTTTTCTCTTGTTCACATTGACATTTGGGGTCCCTTTCACGTGTGTTCTGTAGATGGTTTTCGTTATTTCTTGACTATAGTAGATGACTGTACCAGGGTTACCTGGATTTATCTACTGAGAAATAAAAACGATGTTCTTTCTCGTTTTCCTGAGTTTTTGACGTTTGTCTCCACTCAATATGGCAAGTCTGTGAAATCATTTCGCTCAGACAACGCCAGTGAACTCTCATTTTCTTCTCTTGTCTCCAAACTTGGCTTAATTCACTATCGATCTTGCCCCTATACCCCTCAGCAAAACTCGGTAATTGAAAGAAAACATCAGCACATCCTTAATGTTGCTCGATCTCTCCTTTTTCAATCCAACTTACCTCTTCCTTATTGGACAGATTGTGTGCAGACTGCGGTTTACCTCATTAATCGCATTCCTACACCTCTCCTGAATAATAAGTCTCCTTTCGAGGTTCTTACCAATACCAAACCCTCATACTCTCATCTTAAAGCCTTTGGTTGTCTCTGTTATGTTTCTTCTGTTGGTAAATCCGCTCATAAATTCTCTCCAAGGGCCATTCCACACGTTTTTCTTGGCTATCCAGCCAGTATCAAAGGTTACAAAGTCCTTAACCTTGATACTAATTCTGTTTCCATTTCCCGTAATGTCGTTTTTCAGGAATCCATCTTCCCTTTTACAGACAAACCTCTGTCTCAACCCTCTTTATTTTTTTTTCCTGAGACCTCTTTTTATCCATATCACTATGATTCCCATGTTGGTTTTCCCTGTGTATCTCCACCTATCCCTACTCCTTCTAATTCTGAGTCTACTTTAATCCCTGTTCCCTCAGAGAACATCCGCAAGTCACAGCGCATGACTAAGGTTCCAGGTTATTTAACAGATTATCACTGCTACCTTTTAAAACATAATACCCCACCTTCTTCACCACCATCCATTTCTTACCCTCTTTCTTCATACCTCTCGTACCATAAACTTACCTCACCTCTGAAACATTATTCCCTCTCCATCCTTTCTCAGCCCGAACCTAAAACCTATAAACAGGCTGCGACGTTTGATGAATGGCGAACTGCTATGCAACTTGAGTTGAATGCTCTGACTCGCACACAGACCTGGGAAATTGTTCCTCTTCCTAGTGGCAAGAACCCCATTGGGTGTAAATGGGTGTACAAGGTGAAATTTAACGCTGATGGGAGCATTGATAAACACAAGGCTCGCTTGGTAGCTAAAGGTTACTCACAACAAGAGGGCATTGATTATTTGGATACTTTCAGCCCTGTTGCGAAGTTACCGACTGTTAGAATCATTCTTGCGCTTGTTGCTTGCTACAACTGGTCTCTGCATCAGATGGACGTGTCTAACGCATTTTTGAATGAGGATTTAGATGAGGAACTGTATATGAAGCTCCCACCAGGATATTCTGACACTACAAAAAAACAGTTATATAGCGACGGAAAAATCCGTCGCAATTAAGAATTTGCGACGGAATGCGACGGATTTATTTCCGTCGGTATAGCGCTGTCGCAAACGTATAACGATCGTTAATCCGTCGCATTTTTGCGACGGAAAAAATCTGCGTTTTGCGACGGAAAAAATTCCGTCGCATTCCGTCGCAAATGTTTTAAAATTTTTTTAAAAAAAAATATAAAAAAATTATATACTATATATACACATACATATATACATTCATACACATACATTACATACATACAAATATACATACATATACATACATATATATACACATATTTTCATATACACAAACACACATACACATCCACATATATACACATATACACATATATACACATACATAAATACTCATACACATATACATTTCACAAACACATACACATATATATTTCACAAATACATACACATACATATAAACACACACATATACACATATTCATATACACATACAATCACATATACATACACATACATATTCACATTCACATATATATACACATCCACATACATAAACACACACACATACACATTCACACATATATATACACATTCACTTACACACACATACACATACATAAATACACACAAACACATCAAACACACACATATATATATATATATAAATACATATATATTACCTTATGGGAGAAACTTGGCGATCTTTGGAGAGATTTAGAAAAAATTTGGCGATTTTTTTTTTTTTCGAAAATCGTTGAAGTCTGATGAAGAAGACGACTCGTGGTTTTTGTTGGTTGTAATGCTCTAGGATGATCCGTGATATGACATTTTGACTTTTATTGGTTCATTGATTTATGAATGCATTACATCCCCGTTATATGATTGGCATGTTTGTTATATTTCGGTATCCTTGAATCATTATAGAATGATTCTAAACACCCTGGTCAGTTATCATTGTGGGAACAATGATGAATTAAGACTAGCATGAGGTGTGATCGATGCATTGGATGCATATCACAATCATGGGTACTCGTTGTGAATGAGTGACTGGTTGACCCGCATGAGATTGTCACATGGACAGAGTCATGACTTGAATCTCATACAGCGGTTCGTTCTTGGATCCTCAGACCTGAGATGTCTAGAGTATCTGATGTGAGGAGTGGCGTGTCTTGACTGCGTCAAACGTCGTCTTTAACCGGATGATTATAACGGCGTTGATCAGATACGTTCACGAATCATATGGAGATAGTAGACATGCAATATAGGACTTGTCACCTCCTTAACAGGAGAGATATCGCTGGGCCCTCTCGTGGAAGTCGGACTATGAAAATGCGTGGCCACGCTATAGATGAAGTTGCATCTATTTTATTAGTCGATTTGCCAAGACGAGAAAGCGGTTGAACTTGAAGGGTGGCTCAAACCATGCCCTTGTTCAACATATGATATCGTGAGATAAAGGATCAGAACTCGAGCTGTTATTGCCTTGGTTAGATCACCTCTAACTCAATTCAACGTGGGTGGTCATGGCGTCTTGCTAGAGGCTAACCATGACTTGTAGATCGGGAATGGTTCTCGAGGCTGCTGCCACTGCGAATGGGCCTACAGGGTCACACAACATTAGGGATGGACTTATATGTGAAGTATCAGAAAGGAAGACTTGGATTTGGTCGGAAAAACCATTTTCGGATCAAATCACAGTGTCGGGACGTTTTCAGCCTTCTGACTCGGACCGAGTCAGTACTTGACTCGGACCGAGTCAGTTCCGTGCGAGTCGAAGCCCAGAAAGTGTTTTGGGCTTGGCTGATGTTTTGACTCGGTCGAGTCAAAGTTTCGAGTCAAAGTTTTGACTTGGACTGAGTCAATACTAAATGGGCCGGGTCAAGAGTTGACAATGGGCTTG